ATATCGAGCTATGGCTGCAGGGGTTGCAGAAGCTATGTGGCTTCGATATATCACTGATGCACTGGGTATTCCTCCGTCCAAACCGAAGTTATACTGTGACAATGAGTCGACTATTTGTGTCACCAAAAATCCGGTTCTTCATGATCACATGAAGCATGTGGGCACAAACTGTCACTTTGTACGAGATGAGGTTATGGTAGGCACTATGACTCCACATCATGTTTCCTCCTCAGAGCAGTTAGCAGACATTCTTACCAAACCGCTTCTGCCAATTCCTTTTGAGTACTTATGTTCCAAGCTGCCCCTCGTCTCCGTTGATCAGCTTGCGGGGGGATATTAGGAAGTATAATTAAATTAGGATACTTCTTTCCTTTCCTACTAGGATTATTCTTTCCTTTCCTACTTGTACTTTGATTACTCTTGTATTCCCTATATATAGGGCCATATCTCTCAATATTCAATAAGACAAGTTATTATCAAATTGTATCAAGTATGAAGCGAAGTTTAATGGGCCTCTTTTATTTACTTCATTATCTGCCCGAAAATAAAAAATCGTCAATGATGACTCTTTTAGCTCTATGATATGTTTCCAATTGACTTTTAAGCAATTGGCCTAGAAAAGAGAGAAAGACTAGATAGAATATTTAGAGAGGGACAAGATATTTTTTCATTCATTCATAATTCATGCCAATACAATTATGGAGTATATATAAATAATATAACCTAGTAAACTATTACCATAATGCACGCATCAACCATCATGCACTATGCATGATATACGGATAATAACTTCCATCAACACATGCTTCTACATATACTAACTTCCCATAACAACAACAACAACAACAATAATAATAGTAATAATAATAATAAGCACATATCATTCCACCGCGCTCAAATTCACCTTGTCCTCAAGGTGAAGCAAATTAGGAAGAGTTTTGTTGTCGCTCCACGGTGGCCTCCATTTGGTTCGTTTGGTGGCATTTGGAGCCATCTCAACATGGCACCATGCTGGACACCACTGGAATCTCCTTGGCAGGTTTCCTACTTGAAACTTTGATACGGGTGAGGAAGTAAGTGCTAACCTTAGAGCCGTAGGGACACTCATCGAGGAAGACCGTTGCGGTGGTAGTGTGGCGACCATAGTGGATTTTGGGGTAGTTTTCAGTGTAGAAGCGTGGAGTGGGATGGATTTCTGTAGTGTCGGTGGACTCTGTGTGGTAGTATGTGTTGGTGGCAGGCTGGCAGCGCTACTTATGGTGAAGCGGCGGAAGCAGGTGGTGGTGCAGCGACGGGGAACCCTGGTCGATTCTTGAGAAAATTTCCAGGATAGCAATACTTGACTCAATGATTTGACCTAACTCCTTGTAACTCCTTGTACCTAACTCCTCGTACCAATCTTGCCATCATCATGGGTACGTCATCGTTTGATTTGAAGAAAGATTTCGATAATTTATTATGGGGATATAATCTCAAATCACTTGGCGAAGTTTGATTGCTGTCAAGTTGGTAAAACTGGAGAATGACAGTGTAGTCAATTTACATATTTAGATTAGAGATCAACCTAACAGTTCAAGAATATTAGTCATTGGATTGTCACGATATTTAGGTCTAACACTTGTTACAACCAAGATATGTTCAACAAAGTGTTTTAGGGATTAGTCCCTAGTCTTTAAAGCATTTCTCAAATGAGTGGTACTTTTGAAAATCTTCGTCATACGATCTACATACATTAGTGATTTGACGTTAGAATAGTCGTGCATTGAGTAGTTAGTGTGCCGATTCGTTTTTTGCGGAAAAGGTTTTATCATGACCAATCAATTGTTAGACAATGCGTGCAACTCTAGAGGGGGGGTGAATAGAGTTGTTGAGAATGATTGCCGATTTTCGCAGGATTAATAATATAAACGTAAGTGCAGCGGAAATAAAAGAGAGAAGGCAAAGAACACACCGATGTATACTGGTTCACCACCTCGTGGCTAGTCCAGTTCCCCAAGAGACTCTCCCGAAGCTACTACTACTTATCAAGCTTCAGCGGGTGCTTGACAAACCGTTTACAAACCGAGAACTTGAATCTCACAAGCCTCAACACAACCGCTCGTAGATGTACCCTCTACAAGACTTCACAACCAAGACTTAAGTCACATAAGTTTTGAACAACATGAAGAACAATCTTCTTCAACCTCTCAACAATAGCTCTCAAAAGAGTAGGAATGAGAAAAATGTTTAGCTCTATGGATGACAAGAAACC